ACAAATACCGAAAAGTAAGCCATGTAACTTAACGATGCATAACTTATTATTTTGTTTAATGTCGAATCACATAGTCAACTGCACGCTACCTTCTACAAAAGTAATGTCCAAATCTAAATAATTAGCATGGACATCATTATCATTATTACTTCTTTCTGTTGGATATATTAGGCTTGGTGTAAAATTCATATTATTTATAGATATTAAATCATTGATGTAACGGAAAGTGTAAATGTATAAGTTCGGATTTAAAGTCTGTACTTGTCCGTTTAAAACAATATAACTGTTATAAATACAGAAATGGAGTATATTTTTATATTGAATTCTAGTAAATTTAAATTTGGGTATAGTTATTTCATTATTTATAAAATTATCAAACAAATCATTGAAAACCCTGATTAAATCTTTTAGGTCTGTTTTAGTATACAATGTAGTAAAGTCATATGTAAAAAAAACTAGTAGTTTTTGAAGAATTTCAATTATTTAAACATTCCAAAACTCTACTGGCCTCTACTGTAAACCTTCCTTTCTTTGCTATATTTTTTCTTAAACGAAACATTAGGCTTGTCTTTTATTGTTCTGGCCAGAGTCGCTTTTTGTTTGGCAAGGTTCCAAGAACTCTCGCAGCGTTAGTCTTTACTGATTGATTTCGCTGAGAATCGTAGTTGTAGTTCAGGCACCTCGTGTAGCGCGCATTGCACGAGCGTCATTGTACTACCATCTTTCTCAAAATATTAATTGACACAAATTTCTTTTAACGCAAAATATTAACAGTGATAAAAAAGCATTTTGTAAATGTAAAATGATGTAGGTGTAACAGTGTAAAATAGAATGTAAACAAGAATATAGGGATGATACAGTTATACATAGATCATCTTTTCATGACTGTCAATATTAAATTTTATGTTACACTGTATATTGCACGAGTACAAAATGGTTACGAGGTCGGTCAGTTTGACCTACCTCGTAGCGAGAGTATATAATAATCAAGACATGTCTTGACTCAACTTTATTTTCCTTTGATCTAAGTCTTAGGCTCTTAGTTACACTACATAGATGCCTACCCTGACCGTGATATTGTGATAAACAAATTACATACAAACAGTCAGGAATACATAACTCCAACTACAATAATATTAAAGTTAAGTATACATTTTACAGTGTAACATTAAATTTAATATTAAAATTCATGTAGGGATGATCTATGTATATCTGTATCATCCCTATATTTTTGTTTACATTATATTTGACACTGTCATCCCTACATCATTTTATATTTACAAAATGTTTTTATTACTTGTTTTGTAAAGTTTATTTATTTTTTCCTGACTGGAAGTTAATGTATTCTATAAATATGTGTAATAAAGCTTAATATTATTTGTGTTGATTTTTTTCCCTTCACTTCATACGTAATACAGAGGTTAGCTTCGTAAAGACACCGATTGTATAGTGTACAAAGCATTGAATATTCTAGGTGTTAGTCATCTAATGTTTATATATGTTGTGTCATCGAGA